GGAGTTCCTTGAGTGGATCTCAGCCTGGAGGTGGAGCACCAGGTAGGAGCATTCTTCGGAGAGGACACTGCCTAGAGCATAGCCTGGTCATGCAAGGGGAGAGAAGAGACACCTTCTAAATCAGGGACATGGAATGAAGGCAGACGTTTCATCTCAGCTTTCAGGCCAGGCAACCTTCAGAGGAACCCAGGGTCTCATAAACACTTGCTATTTCTACAGAAGCCTTCCTCACCCAGGAGCTCCTGTGAGTCTCAGAAAAAAACCCAGAAGGCAAAATGCATTTAATGCATTCTTTGGATGGAGTCTGTGCATAGGGGAACTTGACCTTGTGGCGTTCCAGAGACACATGTAGGACATTGTGTTAATAAAAACACAGCAATTACTGCCTTCTGCTATTCCTGGGTGCCAGGGGCAACTACAGATGATAGCCACAGAATAATAAGTGTCCCTTGCCCCCCATTCCCTGAGAGAGCGGCCATATTTTTTGACAGTGAAATATGGGCTTTCTTATCCTAAGGAGCTGCATCTTTATGGCTGCAGAGGGAGGGGTTGAGTTCTTGATTCAAAGGCTGAGACCAGAAGAGCAAGGACTGAAGGGAAACTCTTGCTGATGGGTGACTACGTGGGACCCCAAGGTAGTAGGATGACTTAGACCCCACACTGCCTGACAGCCTTCACTTTACTGGGTGCACTTTGGCAATGGTGATATCCTAGAAAGGATGGACACAGCCTATTCCAGATAGCTGGGGGCTGAAACTTCCCCAAGGTCTGAGTTGCAAAGCACCAAGGTTCTCATGTACCGGAAGGGAGAACTACAGAATTATATAAACACCTGCTAGGAATTCTGCCAACCTCAACCTGTAAAGGAACTCACATTTGTTTCCATTTGATTTACAAAAATAAAGAGAATTATTTCTTGACACCATGTGCCACACAGCAATTACTCACCATTTTATTTAGTCTTCAAGGTTACCTGACATGATAGAGGTGATTACTTCCACTCTCGGTGAAGCGCTGACTGCTTTTTGGGGCAGTTTAGAAACTGACTTAAGTCAGTCTCGAACTCACAAGTGGCAGAGACTTGAGTCAACAATCTGGGAGACCTGGGAGCCAGGCTGGTTCCAGAGAACACAGTCACCATTGTTAGCAAGAGGCAAGAGACGTCTCTTGTTAGCAAGGCATGGTGGCTCCTACCTGGAATCTTAGAACTTGGGAGGTGGAGGCAGGAGGATTAGGAATTTAAGGTCATCTTCAGCTGCATAGTGAGACCAAACAGGGCTACATAAGACCCTGTCTTTAAAAAAAAAAAAGACATCTCTTCTCTCTTCCACAAATCTCTCTAGAGACACACTATAGATGTTCTGTAAGAAGGCTGCCCAACAGTAAATTCTGTTATTGTTTGGCTCCGGACCTACCTAGCCTTTAGTTGTTCCTTGGAAAGAGATTCTAGATTCTACAACTGTCTTGGGCAATCCAGTAGCCACCAGACACCTATGGCCATTGAGTTCTTGAAATGTGGCCAGTCCTAACTGAGATGGGCCATTAAGTATAAAATACATCTAGTATGTCAGAGCCTCTGTAGGAACAAGAATAACACATCTCCTTTGTAATTGTGTATTGATTACATGTTGAAGATACAGTGGTTTGGACATACAGAGTTAAATGAAACACCTTGTTGAAATCAATTACACTAGTTAATTTCTCTGTTTTCCAATATGGCTACTAACAAATTTAACGAGCCTGTTGTGGCTTATACCCATGGCTGGTCCCAATCTCCAGACCAATCTCGGCTTCTATGAACCCCCTTCCCCAATACTGAGAAACTTCATGGAATGAAGGGAGGCAAATGCTACAAGAATTCTGAGCGTGTTCTCTCTACTAAGCATTTCTCTGAATTCCTGGCTGCCTCTCCTGACTCGTGCCTTCCTCTGAGCCCAGCTTCTGTCCCAGCACTCAACATGTGCTTAGCAGGTCTGAATGCTAGGCTCTACTGTGAGCCCCATTCCTGTGGCAGGAGCACCTCTGATAGTCAGGTTTGTAAATTTGTCCTCTTCCAGAAGTCCCAAGTAGAGCAAACTTCTCCAAGCCCCACTCTGACCCCATGAGAGCCCAATAATAAAATAATATAAAAATAATAAAAATAATAAAATGTGTTCTACATACTCTCTATTTGTTTCACTCTCCTGAGCCACCAGAGCAAGACCAACTTTCCCTCATTTGAAGATGGTGTCTGGAGATGCTTGAGGCCTGGACCTGCTTCTGTGCTATCCCCTCTACCCCATGCGAGGCCACGACACCAATCTGACACAAGCTAGGGTCATTCAGGAAGAGGGGACTGTAATGGATTAATTCAAATGCTGCAGGATCCCTGGATCCCTGGCAGCTGCAAAGGCAGAAATGCTGCAGATCCCCGAGCAACGGCAGTGGGCCATGTGGCAGCAGGCAGCAAACAGCGTATCCTGAGAGCAGCCAGTCCCAGGCAGGGATGGAGCAGTTCCCCAAGCAGCTGTAGCAGGCCACAAGGAGAGACAGATGGATGGGCACACCATGAGACCATGCTGCAGGTCTCCGAAGGCAGCTGGTCCTGGGTAGGGAGCCATGTGGCAGGTGAGAGACAGGCAGACAGGCATGCCATGCAGAGTGAGGTTGGATATTTATTTAGTGGGTTATGGAGGGGAAGGGGAGAAAGGAAGAAGAGGAGGGATTGAAAGAGAGAGAGAGAGAGAGAGAGAGAGAGAGAGAGAGAGAGAGAGAGAGAGAAGAGAGAAGAGAAAGAGAGAGAAGGGAGAGATGGAAGCTGCCTCTCCAAGAGGAAGACAGAAAAGGAAGAGACTCAGGCTGCAAGCAGGTAGATCAGCCTGCCTCAGCAGATGGTGGAGGTGTGGCTTGTCTCTTAAAGAGACAGGACAGACCATTACAGGGACCTCAAATGAGAAAATGCCCCCAGCACATTAGCATTTAAGCAAGTCTGTTGGGGGCACTTTCTTAATTAATTACTGATTGACATGGGTGATACCACCCCCTGGGTTTGTGATCCTGGAGGGTATAAAAAAGGCAGGCTGAGCAAGCCATAAGGAGCAAGCCAGTAAGCAACACCCTCTGAAGCTCTGGCTTCGGAGCCTGTAACTTCCATATTAACCGTTAAATGTTCAATGTCCTCCAAAGGCTCAAGCATTTGAAGACTCAGTCCCCAGCTGCAATGCTGTTTTGTGAGGCTATAGAACCTTTGAGGTAGGAGGCCAGCTGATGTAGGGCCACAGTGGTATGGTTTGGGGTAAATACCCTAGCTCTGGTTCCAGTCCAAGCTCTGTGCTTCCTCGTTCACAGATAATAAGCATTCACACAGATTGTGATGACACAATTCTATCCCGCCGTGATAAACTATATCCTCAAGCCATGAGCCAAAATAAATCCTCCCTATCTCAGGCTGTTTCTGTCAGTTGCTTGGTCTCTGTGACTGAAAAGTAACTAATAAGGCAAGTGCTTGGTAAACATTGCTTAATCAGTTTGACACAGCTAGGATCCCTGGAAAAGCGCACTAAGAGAACCCTAGCCCATCCCTGCAGGGCAGGATTTTTGTTGCCTCCACTCGGCCCCCACTTTTCTCCCACGAAACATCCTTCTCAGAGTCAGCCCTCCCCAGTCCCCTGTCCAGTCTGAACGCTGACAGTGATGCTCAGAACCAGAGAGCTGCCTCCCCCCCCCCCACTCCCACAAGGCTCAGCCAGTCCCCACTGTTCCAAGTACTCAAGTTCCTTTTCTTTCCACTCCCTCCAGTAGGTGGGAGTCCAGTGGCACCCCCACCCGTGGCCTGTAACCTATCCATTTCCTAGAGAGGGGCTTAGCTTGCTAAATTCCTCAGGGTATCCTTTGATTTAAAGCAAGGCCACCCAGGAGTCCTAATGTTCTGCCCCTCCCCAGCCCTTGGCTCTGACTGAGACCTCAACCCTAGTCTGAACTAGATGGAATCTGCCACACCCTCTAGGGCCTCCTGTTGTTAGCTGCTGGCCTTTCTCCCATTGCCCCAGGTCATTTCCCAAGACTGCAAGCTATTTCTGCTTCTGTCTCGGCCATCTTTGTTTCCCCACGGGGAGGCTGCCAGAGCGACACCCTCATGGTACACATGGTACAGACCAAACAACCAGTCATAACAGTTCTGTAGTGGCATTTCCAGCCCTGTTGGCCCCTTGCCCTTCTAAGTTTCAAGAGGTCGAGCCTTCTAGGTCCTAGAGATCTACCTGATGTTTCCTGCTTTAGCTAAATCCTGGAATTAACTGCTAGACCCAAAGAATCTGCTAGACCCTGTGTGTCCCTCTACATCCTACACCTGACCCCCACCCCCAGGCACTTTCAGTCCTCCCCTGCTTGCTTAGGCACCCATGAAGGGACAGATAGGCACAGTCCACTTCTCTATTTCTCATGAGCAAAATTCTAGGTGTCTGAGCCAAGGTGGTCCCAAGGTGCAGAGCCCCAGATCTACCCCCTCACGGGTACATAAGAGCTCCTTTGCCCTTTGTTACCTCAATTTCCTCGCTGACATAACCTCCCCGTTTCTTGCAGGAGCTCATGACAATAGTGACTTTTTGATTTGTACTCTGAATCCCTCCAATAAGATATGCTCCATGCATAACCACGGTGCTAGGCCTTCCTTCCCACATAGGAAGTGAACTCTGCTGATGCTAAATCTTCTGGTACCTGGCTTCAACAAGCACATGGGTGAAAACAAATAACTCTAAGGTGTCCATCTATCATCTTATCAGGCTTCATGGGCTTAGTTCGCACAGTTATCTTCTCGAGGCTGACACTGTACGCCGAATACAGGCTGATGTATTTCCCTACCTGCCATATCACGGATAATGGATAGCCCAGCTTCAGGTTCATTACCTGTCATTACACCACGTGCATGTCGCTGGGGGCCACAGCATCAATCCCTCTTGAGTCACTCCAGTGGTACAGCCTCCCAGTCGGAGCTCCAGGTCCCAGGAGCCGTGGCTCACTGCTCAGCCATTCTCTCTTCCACTTCCGGCTGGCCTAATCCTCCGGGATGGGGTGACTCGAGCTCCCGGCTGCTTCAGAGGGGATCTGCAAAGAGAACAGAGGTCTCCATCACAACCAGACCCAGACATACAAGTCCAGGTGTGAACTGTTCTGGAGTCTTCTGCCCAGCCTCTTATTGGTCTTTATTATTCAATCCCACAGTGCCTGGTAGCTATGCCATGTAGGGTTCCCACTGAGTGTGCTCTGACCACAGGTTCAACATATGATGTGCATGCAAGCACGCAAGCACGCATGCACACGCACACACACACACATACACACACATGCATGCACACATTCATTATTCCTGATTTCTTACCTCTGCATACTTCTATCTACTTGAAAGACTCCCTTTTCAACCAGGTGTCCACCTGTTAGTGGTCACGCAGGCTTCAATTTAGACCCAACAGGAGCCCTGAGCTGTCCCAGTGTTCTGGGAGAGGAAGGAAATAGGTGCTCTCACTCCACCAATGGGAAGGGCAAAGAACAGGACATTACTTTACTCACCAAATCCTGGGGCAAGGCTTTGGGGTGCTGGAGACTGGGGGCTCCAGGAAGACCACCCTACCCATAGCCCATGATGAATGTCTTTCCAGCCCTTCATCTCAAAGGAAGAGACAGGAAAAGAGATATAGCTCCCCCGCCCCCCCAGCACAAGGGACAAAGACACTGACACTGGTCCCCCTGAATCCTGGCATTCCAGAGACAAGATTGTGGGCCATACTCTGCAAGGAAGAGTCATGAGTCTTCCGCGGCAACTGCACCGCATGCTCTGAACACTGGGACCACTGGGACTGCAGCTCTGTCCCTCTCAACAGGTCTGGACAGCTGCTCACATGGCTGAGACCCACCCAGGGTCCTCTCAGCCTCACTGGACCAGCTGCTGAGAAGATGCTATGGATGGAGAATGAAAGCCCAGGTGACCAGCACTTCAGAAAGAGGATGCGCCATGCCCTGGGTGCAGGTAGTGAAGGAACCAGAGCACACACGTTCTTCCCTCCGGCCTGTATGGACTATTGAAGCAAGATGATGACAATGACTTAGATTGCGCCCTAGAAATTGCCTTTCCACCCTGTTTTCGTAGTAGGTCCACGAAGCGATATTTCAAAGATGAGGAAATAGAAGCACAGAGAGGTTGAGATGACTGTTGAACGTCACAGAGTAAGTTGGAGAAAGTCAAGGCTGGTATTTCCAATTTCAATTTACCATGTTTTCCCAGGAAGTATTCCTGTGCTAGGCTAATTTCATCTAAATGTCAAGTCATCCCCAGAGGATGAGGGCTGAGTGAGAACGAAGCAAGAGGCCACTCGTCCTGTTAGGGAGCAGGTAAGACAGTCATGCCTTTGGTCTCTTCTCAAAAGGTAAGTCTAAGGAGATCAAGAAGAGATAAGGGTGAGGTTGAGAAGCAGGAAAACGGGCTGGAGAGGTGGTGTGGCAGCTGAAGCATCTCGAGCCCAAGGAGAACTGGCCACGATCAAGTGCTGCATAACCACCAGCCTCCCAGCTACCTCTCGGTTCTGCACCGAGGGCCTTCTATAAGAGGCGGCAAGCAGCATGGTGGGCAGAGAGTCGTTTTGGACGGCAGGATGGATACTCTTCTTCCCTTTGAAGGGCATGTCTATGCTCCATATGCTATCCCGCGTATGTGATCTATTCCTAAGAACTGAAAAGGAGAAGGATAATCCCACAGGACTCTGCCCATGTGAAGAATGGGCCCCCACTCTGGACAACAGCTTCTCAGCTTGATTCTGAAGCAGCTCTGCCACTGGCACACAGGGCTTTTTCACCGAGGTCATCCTTCCCTGACCACAGCAGTCAGGGCTAGCCTGATTCTGGAGCAAGCATCACAGATGCAAGCCAGTCAGGGCAGGTAGTAGATGCTGGTTGAGACAGGAAGATGACCCCAGGCAACGATGGCTCCAAGTAGCTCATGTAGCCCCTCATGCCTGCCTGCAGCCAGCAGAGGTCCAGGCACAACACAATAGACCACAGGAAGGAACGAAAACCAGTGCCTAGTACTAGCGCTGTGCACTAGTGAGTGTGCACTGTGTGTACAGGTGCAGTGGGGGAAGGGAAGAAGCTGCCCTCAGAAAGCAGGTCACTATCCTGGCCCACTGATGACACCATCACCTGGATCATCTGGTGCTGGCTGGACTGACAGCAAACGGTGGAGCAGCCACATCTTTGCTGATGCGCGTGTGTGTGTGTGTGTGTGTGTGTGTGTGTGTGTGCGCGCGCGCGCGCGCGCGTGTGTGTGTGTGCACGTGTGTGCACGCACACAGAAACAGCACGTCCTGGCCCTCCTGTGGGGTGGGGCTGAAACATATTCACAGCAGATGGTGCTGTCACCCTCTCTCCAGGATTCTCATTCCTAATTATCTGTGCTGTCAGCCAAACAATTAACCCTCAAAGAAAAATTGCAATGTCCACCCCCAACCATATGAAAAGGCAATTTTCCCAAGGGCGAGCGATACCTAGGGCAGCCTTGTGCTCGGCTCCAGATCTCACCATCCTCTGGCCTTGGAGGCCTATCGCTGGCTTTGAGGCCATCTCCCCACTTCCTCTGACCCTGAGATGGTTCCTGTAAAAGGAGGAGCTGATCCCAACCACCGCCCCCACCCCACCCCACCCCCACCCCCAGAGCTACCGTCGTACATTTTCCTTCATCTGAATTTGGGGTTTGCCTGGAGCAGAGGCTGAGCTCCCTCTGTGCTTCATGTCATTTATCCAGTCGTGGGACATTTTCCATGTCTCCTCAGTCACTCTGACCCTTTTCAGAGTTCTTGCCTGCGATGAGAGGGGAGGGGCAAAAGGCAGAAATCCCCTTGATACATTTAGATTCTTTCAGAAAATGGGGCTATAGGAAAGCAGCCTCTTCTCCCACAAGAATCTGAAGAGCAAGGCGCTAAGGCAGAGCTGCAGAGGGGCGGGTGGTGTGATACACCTCGAGAGAAGAAAGCCCGTTTCCACTGCTGTGCCTCTCAGGTCTCACAGCCACCACCGGGCAGGTGCAGAGCGTGTCCCCGTAGGTGTTCATTCAACAGCAGAGAAGGACATCGGGTGCCTTCTCCCAGAGGAACCGTCTGAAGAGGGTGCTCACAGGACTGAGACGGTGTCCGTCAGCTAAGGGGCTACTGGGGAAAGTCCGATCTTCGAGTCGACATCATCCATCACCATGCTCTGACATAAAAAGCAGAAGGTTCTTCAGGAAGCTCAGGCCGTGCTTTGGGGATGACAGCCCTTCTGGCTGCTTTTCACCGATGCCATCAGAGAGACTGAGGGCCCAGCCCTTCACAGAGGGAAGGAGCAGGCCTGGTGCGTGTGGCCTCGGTCTTACCCCCACAGATTAGGGCAGTGGGAGCAAAAAGGAGTGGCAAAACAGGGGCACAGTCTGGCCCACTGAAAGTCAGAAAATCCCTTCTGAGGCAGGGGGATGCCCTAGGCACCCAGGGAGGAGTGCAGAAAGTGGGTAGATGGCAGACCAGGAGGTGGAACTCCTTTCTCACCGTCATTTGCTCGGCCCAAGCCTTGGGACAGTTTTTTCTCCTGTTCCCTGTGATTCCCTGTCCACCTGCACATAGCCCTTTGTGCCCAAGGGGCACAGGTTCCCACAGCCCCTCCACACAGGGCCATGTTTATAGTCATAGAGGGAATTGCCCACTTAGAATGTGTTTGTAGACAGCACATATGAATATCGCCCCCCCCCCCTCCGCGCCCAGGGCCCATGTGGGACAGACGCCAAAGTCTGGCAGGAGACATTTCTAAATATGAGTTTGGCACCAAGAGTCAGGTTCCCAGACCTCCTTGGCCCAGGAGACCCTGCCAGGATTCTCCAGGCGGTTTGAGAGAGAGCTGGGTCAGTGAGATCAGGAGACAACCAGGCGGTGGGAAGCACGGCCCCAGCCCCTGGAAGCCCCACAGCCTTGTTAAAAGGAAGAAAAAGGATTACCCAGCACTCCATGCCTGATCAATTGCCCACAATCCTTGCAGTGGGGATGAGAACGCCACTGGCTTCTCAAATGTGCATGGATTAAAAATACACAAATGGAATCTTTTTTTCTACCCCTCTCCTCAACCCCCCGAAGCCTGGGATGCTTGTTAAAAATAGCCTTGCTGTGGCAGGGATCCTGCACAGCCCGATGGCTGGCAGGAAAGTGAAGGCGCCATTGGAGAGGACTCTGTTAAGTGGCTGCCCTTACGAAGCGGGGTAGGGAAAGTCCCAGAGGAAGGCTGCCTGTCTCAGGAGTCTCAGGACACACTTCTGCATGGCTCGGACCTTTACCAGCAAGCAGACACTTCATTCTATGCCTGAGTGTGAGCCGCATCTTGGATACTAATTTAGCAAGCCAGCATCATAGTGCAGGCTGGCCAGGTAACTCAGGCCACCAAAGACAAAGAAGCCATTATCATCCAGGGAGCAGTGAATCCCGGGCCTGACCTCAGCAGGGACCTGAGTTCTCTGGGCCTGGTTGCTTGCTGTAAGGGGAGGGGGGGGGCTGAAGAGGGGGTGGCAGTCGGATTTGATGCTAAGCTTTCGCTTCATCACTTCCTGGTGTATAAAACAGCTATCTGCCTCTTGTACCTTCCCACCATGAAAGATAAAGGAAATGGGGGGGGGGTCTCCTTTTGACTGCATGGAGCGAGGCTGGGGTGGGTGGGACCCCAGAGGAGAGGTTGCTCTGAGAGCACAGACCAAAGAGAAAAGACTATCAGTTTGGTACCTAAAGGCATTCTGAATTCGAATCCTGACGGGCTATCAGTAACTAGAAAGCTCGAGTGACTGGCTTTAGCATTAGTGCAAACTGGCCTTCTCACCCTGCTGTTCCTGGAGCTCTGGGCCATATCTCAGGCTGGTTAAAAGTACAGACTCTGGAACTAGGTTTGCATCCCAGCCCTACCAGCAATGAGCTGTGTGACCCTAAGTAAGCACGGTGATCTCTCTGTGCTTTAGCTTTATCTGTAAGATGGAAGAGAAAGCAAGGGGTTGTCGTGTTTCTCAAGCCCACACTCCTGTCCTGAGCAGCCATCTTGGCTCCCAGTTGTCA